TGGTTCGGCTAGTGTGTCCCTCCACTAAAGGACCTGGTTCTACAGTTCTCCAATCTCAGGTTCCAGTTCGAATTCAGCCTTTCATATAATACCATCAAAGATCACTGCTACTCCCCAACTCGGGACTTGCCAAGCAGGTTCTAGAATCTTCTCGTTCCTTGGTGTTACCAACACTACCGGGACATCCTATATCTGCTTAGCAATACGCAGATGCCCGACAGTGACAACTTTTCAATATAGAGCATTGGTGTGACTCGAGATTACAGGTTAATCTAAGCCCCAACTTAATGAAGATCTGTTACTATAACACAAGTCTATTTTTCAAACTTTTGTTGTTCATGGGATTTGAACCCTAGACCTGCTACTTGGAGAGGGTGACAACTTGACCACTTCACTAAGCCACCACACCTCTATTAGGTATTATTTATTTTATTTATTAAATTATTATTTATAATATAATTAATATTAACTTAATATTATATTTTATTAGCCTTAGATAGTTGGACAAGTAATCATGGACATTCTTATTTTGCTTTTATAATTGTAATATCTAGTAAAAAGCAATATATATATTCAATTAAAGATTATTCTAACAAGTCTTATACTGCATTATTTATATCTAATGAAATTAAAAGGTTTTAGACAATATTGGTACTGCTAAATTTGGTGCTGTTGTATCTAATGATTCTTTAGCAATATCACTTGCAAAGCAATATATTTCAAAAAAATATCTTAGAATATTACCAATCCAATGCATTGCACATTATATTCAATTAATTTGTAGTAATATTGTTTGTAAAACTGAATTTGGAAAAAAAGTATTAAAACAATGTCAATCTTTTGTAATATATTTTATGTATCTCATCAAGCTGAAGCAAATTTACATAATGAAATACTTAACTTTATAATAAATAAAGGAGTATTAAAAAGTTCTGTTGTTCACAATAGTCATCTGCATATGATTGTATACAATCAGTTCTTAATTTAGAAATTTGTTTAAAACAGATAATTATTTTTTAATATACAATTTATTATTATATTTATTTTTAAATTTATATAATATATATATATATTAAATAATAAATTAATTATTTTAAGATTTTAAATAATGATGAGTTTGCTATGACACCAGAATTAAGAAATCTTACACGAGATCGACAATTTTGGGCAAATGCTGAAACATTATTTCCTGCTAAAAATACAGTTAAAAAGCTACAACAACTGCAAATGTTTTTTATTTCTTATTCAAATGGCAATAGCTATTAATGCACTTGGAAAAAATGATTTATTAGAACGTATTAAATTTCATAAACAATGTATTCAAATTTATAACAAAAGATAGAAAGAATTTGATATAAAATTTTATTTATTAGCTTATTTTCTTCATCCAAAATATCATGAAAAAGGTTTGAAAGAATCAATATTTCACCAAATTTTATATACTGCTCTTGAAATTTTGGAAAAAAATTGGTAGCAAAGCAACAAGTGCAAATATATTAGTAGCACAAATTAAATTATATTACATTTCAATCACTATATCATTTTAATTTTATAGAAGATATTGAATCTCCAGAAACTTGGTGGCTTGGCTATAAAATTCCTAATCATTATTTACAAAAACTTGCATTACATATATTAGCAATTACTCTACATAGTGCAAGTTGTAAGTGAATTTTTCAATTTTAAGTTGGATTACACAAAAAAATGAAGCAGGTATTTATAATTAATATAATTATTTATTACTATTTACAAAATAATATACCTTTAATCAAATTTATAAATTGCTGTTTAATTGTAATTAGCAAATTTAATTAAAAATATATTATTTTACAAATATTAATACTTATAAATAAATAAATTTATTAAATTTATATTTTAATAGAATTACTGTAGAAAAGGTATCAAATATTGCAAAACTGCATACCTATTATATAACTAATGCTCAAAATAAACTTAATTATATTAACCAAACAATTCCTAAGACAGAATTTAAGCAAATTATGAAAAGTTATACAAATACAGTCAAATTTGATGATGATATGTTTAATGATAGTATTGAAAGTAAAGAAGAAAATATTGATGCTAATTATGTTTCTGATACTGAAAACTTGGATGATCTTTTACAATTTAGTGAAGAAACTTTGGATGTTAGATTTTAATACATTTTTAAATAAAAATACAACTGAAAAAACAAATATAGAAACTAATAATTATCCGGAGCCAGAAGATGATGAATCTGATTATAATATTGAAGATGTTATTAATGCATCTATAGTCGATAAGTAAGAAAATATAAGCTTTTTAGTTTTTATTTTGCATTATATATTTTTATAGTGAATACACTTATTATATATATTTTTTATACTTATTTATTTTATATATTTATTTAGGGCATTGTTATTCATACCTCACATTATTGCTATTCATATTCCCTCTATATAGAATACTATATAATTTTATACTGTTAAATAATTTTTTTTCTTATTTAACTCCTTGATGTTGTACATACATCATGGAATGTCATGTGATGCTGTTTATGTTAAATAAATTTAGTATTTTATATATATTGATTTTATTTAATACTATATAATTAGATTATTGATATTTGGTTAAATGATTTTTTTTATATGAGTAGACAGAAAAATTTTTTTTGGCCCATCACCACCTTTTGCTGTGGGGGCCCTTATATGTTAATTGAATTTTTTAATATGCTCAAAGTTGTGGTAAAGACATAATATAATATTCAACACAATTAATTCTTAAGATTATTTGGTCTAAAGATCAGTTTGGTATTCTAAATATTACTATATTTAATTTTCGTCATTCTAAATATTTTGAATAGCGTAAATATTTTAGACATCCTAAAATATTTTAGACATCCTAAAATATTTTAGACAATCTAAAATATATTCGGCCTATTAAAATAATTTTTGCAGTCTAAATTATTTTCGACACTATATTATTTATGATTTAGACAATCTAAAATAATTTAGCCATTTAAATTTATGGCAATGGAAAAATAATTTAGACACCTATGTATAGATACAATATCAAATAATATCTACTAACTATAGAATTGATAAGTTACTGCAGAATTAAATAAATTGTTAGCATCAAAAGGCATCAAATACTTATCGATTCTTAAAAAGCCAGAACAAACTAAGGTAGTGAAAAAATTGCCAAAAACATAATTAAAAAAATGATCTATATAATGTTATAATTTATTCAAAAATAATTTTACATTTTGGGTTCATTAAAAATAAGAATGATATTTTTGAGTTTCAGATTATAGTTTCGGGTTTTCGGGTTTCGGAGTTTCAATTTTTTTAAAAAATCTGAAACTAGTTTCGAATTAGAACCCTTCCGAAACTAGTTTCGGGTAGGTTTCGTTTCGACACCATCTTTAGTTGTTTAAATAAAACCTAAACCAAAAAGACGAATCCTTAAACTTAAAATGACGAATCCTAGTGCTCCCACTAAAAAAAAATCACAAAGTTATTTTCATTTGATAATAAAAATTCATAATTTATCCAGAGATCATTATCCGAAATTATACGTAATCCAGTAAAATAATCTAGTTTATTTTTTCCTGACAACGCTGGGTTGTAATAGACCTTGTCAAAAAAGCCACAATACATGAAATAACACATATAAATGAATTAAAACATACTTACACAAATAAATTTGTAAGAACACAAAGTAAGCACCACCAAGCGAGTTTTCGATAAAACTGATATTTAGTTAGAATAATACAATATAGAATCCTCATTTCAAGCACCCATCAAGGTAAAGTAGGGTATTATAATTTAGGCGGTAATTTGAGAGTTTCAACAACATTTATCTGTATCTTCGTCTTTTATTAGGTTGTCATCCCCTTGCAGTTTTGCCATTTTCGTCACCTTTCATCAGTTTCATCATCTTTCGTCAGTTGAGATTTTAATTGACGAAAGACAAAACTAGGTTTCGCGTATTGTCAGCGCAAAACCTCAAGGCTTCGTCTAACAACTATAATTCATACGTCATCAGTAATGAACTATCAGATATCATATTTTTAATCGTGTCCTCTTTGCCTGGCGATATTGGAGAAGATTTGCTGTCAAGACTTGGGCACGTGCATTTATAATTTTCATAATTTATGTAAAGCATAGTATCAAGCTTAACATCTGATGCTATGCTTATTATTGTGAATTTTCTAAATTAATAAAAGCCTTATGACTTAGTCAGCCAAGTTGCAATAGCCATTTAGCTAAGCCGATGTAAATACTAAACCGTACTTCGTTAAAATTGCGTACAAAACAAAGTTTTTTTTCAAAAATGGTGAATTTTCGCAGGCTTCAAAGTCTGAAGACGATGAAGAAATTGAAATTGACTTTGAACTAACACCTAAACCACACAATAACACAGCTTCTGCTATCACCAAATGGCAGGTACTTAGCGACATGGAATAAAGATAATAAATTTATTTGCAGATGGAAATTGAAAATCCACTCACAAAGTGTTTACTAGAACTCCCCAAGCACTTTGAGCATGATTGTTCGATATATGTTAAAAAGTCTTCGATGGTTGAACTAACGTTAAGTGCAGTTTCAAATCATAACGATAATAAAGATCATAATAAATCTTTCGCTAAACTTATTGCGATGCAATATGGCGATAGAATTGGTCAGTATCAAACAAATAAAGCAGGATGAAGCCTGAGTTGCGAAATAGTGAAATCCGCGTTATTATGTATTTTATTATATCCCTTTGACATCAATTTTGTACAAAAAATCATTCAAATTCATACAAAGTGACATTCCGATTTTAATGACTTTAGTACCATTTGAATCCTCTCAATAAGATGAACTCAACATATGTGCAACTATTTTTATGCTATTAGACTGGACATTGGACTTGGACATATGTCCAGTCCAATTAGGGATGGGTTCGATTCTCTGGAACTCGGAATTTTAAGATTTGCTAACGTCATAGCCGGCTACTAGCCGCCGACCGTTAGTCGGCTATGCCGTTAACAAATCTTAAAATTCCGAGTTCCAGAGAAGGTATCGTTCTTTCTACTTATAAGATGGGATGAGCAGAATTTAATTCCGAATTACTTTAATTGAAAGCTCAAAAACAAAAAATCATCTCGGCATTTAGCAAATTGACTATGAATAATCGTAGCCGTTCGTAGTCGAACATCCCTAAGTCCAATAATTGATTTATATATTATTGTCCAATACTTTTTGGCCCAATGTCCATGCCCAATATCCATCTCAACACTGTCACGATTTGATCAAAGTTATTATTTTATATAAATTTGAACGTTATTCTGTACAAATTTAAATGTCATTTTGTACGAAATTAAAATGTCACTTTGTACAAATTTGAATGTCCTTTTGTACGAAATTGATGTCTAAAAGGGTATAAAAGCGGATTTCACCCTCATGTGATGATCATAGCGAATTCCATTATTTCGCAACTAAGGTTTCACCCTGCCATAATAATATAATTGATAATGGTTTTACCCAATCCTGACAATTAAAAATCCCGATACACAAAATCCCGACATCCATGAGCCTGACAACAAGATCCCGACACTACCAAAACCTTGGGATTTACAGCTGTTCTCATAAATTATGGGGCAAACTGAAATTTGCCGGTTTCCTGAAATCCCTTTGGTCTCGTCTTATGAATAATGGAAATTACATTGCAGTTTCCGAACTGAAGTTCCGAAGGAGGCGACATATTTTCCGAAGAGTTAAGTGACTTTTAGGATGAAACCGAAGAGATTTCAGAAAACAATTTTTTTTTTTTTGTCCCAAAATTCGAGAACAGCTGTAAATTTTGGTAGTATGGAATTTTGTTGTCGGGTTTATGGATGTCAGGACTTTGTCAAGATTTTGAGTTGTGGGATTTTTGAATGTCGGGATCTGAGGTAAAACAATTTGACAATATTTGTGATACTTAAAATAATTTCCAAAACATTTATTCTTATAAAGACATCATTAATCTTGAAACGAAGAAGGAAATAGTACTAAAATTAGGTACACACCGATATTCGATGATTGAGTGTAGATTTCGTGATAATGGAGACTTTTTAATGCTTACGAATGATAATTATGAATATAATATTTTCAAATTTTCAAGTAAAAATTTAAGCGCACAAAGCTGGAAATTTAATAGTTCAATTTCCTGCGGAGCAAGTAAAGATATTATAAAATGTCATCTAAACGATAAAGGAAAGATAATGCTTCTTGATATTTGTGGGTAATTAACACAATGGAATTTAAATACATTATTTGAAAAACAATATCAATTAAATACAGCCGATGACTTTTTGAATAAAAAAGAGTGGAATTACATTTTTAATAAAAATTCAGAAAATTTTATTTACGTTTATTTGACTGATAACTCGATGCTCTTATCACGATGTAAGTTATTTAAAATTGTATATCTATGTTTGCAAATAGTATCAGATTATTATATAAAGGAAAACCTGGAATTCTTAATTTCGGAAACTCCGCTTTTAGAAAAGAAATTTCGGAAAACAAATAATTCCAGGCTTTCCCTTGGCAGCATTCATTTCGAGTTTACTAAATCAACTGATAGTGTTTAACTCATGTATTTCAAAGCAAATAAGTAGTTGGAGAATTTGATACTCTAGGTAGTAACTCCAAAACTTTAACCTTGATCCTAAATTAATGGTAAAAATGTCAATAAAATATACATAGCGTTAAACACTCCTGTTGATTTACAATTTTGCAACTTATTTTAAAAATTTTAATTAATAGACGAATGTGATAACATTACGGCGCATTTGTGAAATTGGGAGATGTTTTGGTCACCAAATCTAAATATTTGGTCCCCAGATCTGAGTATTC